GCTACTCCTTGGCCCCTTCTTACTGATGTCTTTCAGCCACACCCCTGATCTTATTGTAAGTCAGATCTAACACCTAGCATTTTCAGATAAGGACAAAAAATGTCAGAGGTCCTGAATGCAAATTGTGCTCATTAAAGATTCATTTGTGGTCCAAAATGAGAAAGCTATAGGCGCCATCCAGACAACATTCATGATTAATTCCTACCAGAATGAAAATGTGTAATGTGTGCCGCGCGCTCATATCACCTTATGCAGTTGCAAGTGCCGTAAAACACTTACCAACGCAAAACAGAACAAGTAACCGCACCGAACCAAACCGCATCAAACCGATCCTCCAATGGGCACCGCCAGTCTGTCTGGAGGATCCAAACTTACGACCTCTGAAGTAGCTCGTGCTCCTGGAGCATAAACCTTAAACTGGAAAAAAGGCGGGGGGGGGGGGGGGGGGGGGCAGCGAGAACAATTCTCCAGATTTCCAACTGAGCGTGCTGGTGGGCTATGTGTTCAGAAAGACTCGACTTGTCGCTGGCAGAACGGTTCTGTTGAAGTCAGAAAGCCGAAACGCATTACATCGGTATAGAGACAAAGGACTGGCCAACAGAAACAGTAAAAGAACAGGAGGGTTTGAACAAACATATTCTTTAAAAATGAATGATTCCAGCCAAAGGCCCCTTACTGGGCTGATGTTCTTGCGCAGAAGAGTGAATTGGCTACCATGGTTAGTCACCGCCAAGCCTAAAGACAGCAATATACAAAAAAATAACAACACCCCCCCCCCCCTCCCCGCCATATCAAAAGAATATGGCCAAGCGTCATGACAGCAATAGTATACAGAAAAACTAGCCAAATTAAAAAAAACAAAAACATGGCCAAGCATAGCGACAACAATATACAGAAAAAAAACAGCCAAATCAAAAATACGTAGCCTTTCTCAGTATAACCAGCGCTTTGACAAGTAATAAGATCCGAGCGCGCGAACTAACCAATAAAAATACGTCTAGTTTCCCGGATAGTGACCCGTCAGCCTTTTCAGCTGCTTGTTCCACATAAAGATTATAACATTGACAATAAAACTGTCCGTATAACTCACCTCTTCAAGACAGAAACTGTTTCTTTTCAAGGCTTCCGAAAAGATATTTCACAATAAATAACTTCTGTTTCAAAGATTTAAAGAGACCTGCATTGCTTAATATTGGCCTCTTCTCTTAGGTCCATGTGCCACAATGGTTTGGAGACAAAGTCCTAATCTTTCATGTGTAAGGATTTACTTTGATTTCTACTTCTTACCGCAATGGGTTGCTTTAGTTGTTTTTCCTGGTACGGATTAAGATATAAGCGGGATCAGACACGCATAAAAATTTTTGCCTGCTAAAAGTTGCTGAAAAAAAGGTCTGGGTTGCTAAGAGAAATTATTGAATCAGTACCCATGGAGGACAGATGTCTTCACCATTGTAAACAGTACACATTTTAAACATTACAAATGCTACTGGGGCCTTCTGCAATGGTTTGATACGATTTACTGAAGGAATGAAACCCCACTTTGCAGCAATTAAAATGCAAGTGCATGAACAACCACGCCAGGTCTTGATTTAAATTAACTCAGTAGTTGTTTTTGTTGTTGCTGTTGTTGTTGTTGTTTTTATTTTCTTTGGCAAGCCCGATGTGAAGAAGAAGAAGAAGAAGAAGAAGAAGAAGAAGAAGAAGAAGAAGAAGAAGAAAAAGAAGAAGAAGAAGAAGAAGAACAACAACAACAACAACAACAACAACAACAACAAACAATAACGACATCATCATTAATTACAATTGTATTATTGCCATGATCTTATTGATGACGATGACCATCATTCTTGATATTGCCCTGTCTGTTCCCTTTTCCACGCCTGAGGCTCGGCTACCACTGAAGCCCATTAACACCCCGCACCGCTCGTAGTTGTCATTAGCACTTAGCCACACTCCACTGGTGCTCTCCCTTTGACCTGTAACATGCTTTTTTCTATTTTAATTCAATGCCTTCATTTACTACTATGTCATTGGTGTCCTGGGAACTACTCAAGTGAAAGCCGAACAGCAATGGCAGAGAGTGATGTTATAAGTTATTGTCAGCCCTTAGGTTCCCACTAGACAACGAAACTTAATACTATGTAACGTACCAAAATATAATATTCTTTAGTACAGATTAGGACTACAAAAATATGAACAAAGAAGCATAGTGGGTTAATACCTACGAGAAGAGGAACGAAAATTAGAAAAACAGTCTAAATAAAAACCGGAACTAGAACGTCCTTTTATTCATCATTTTCGGGGATTGCGTCGTACCCCTAAGTGTATACAAGTAAATATGCATTGTACACGGTACTGTCACCTCATCCCTTTCATGCCGTGGAGAGCAGGTAACGAGTTCAAAGAAAACACCGCCGGCGTGCTTTAATAAAAACAAATTGTAAAGATATTAATGATAATGATAATAACAATAATAATCATAATAATAATAATAATAATAATAATATTTTTAAAAAAAAAATAATAATGATAATAATAGCCTAATAATAAAAGTAATTATAACAAATCTAATCGTAAAGGTAATAATAATGATAAATAATGAAAAAAAAATTTAAAGATTGTAATTATTATAATCATAATGATAATAATAATTATAATAATAATAATAATAATAATAATAATAAAAATAATAATGATAATGATAATAATAATAATAATAATAATAATAATAAAAATAATAATAATAACAATAGTAATAACAGGCCTCATAATGATAATTATAAATATGACAATATGATGATGATGATGATGATGATGATGATGATGATGATGATGATGATGATGATGATAGTAAAAAAAAGTAATGATAATAATAATTATTATTTTATTATAGACAGCAGTTATAATATAGCGCTCTACACCTTACGAGTTTAATAAGCTCTGTGTGCTTTACGGACACTGATCATGCTGTGTATGGCGCACAGGTGTTCACAGAATTATAAGAAAACCGTCGTTTTTTTAAAAAGTGTTTTACGGCGCTCGCAACTGCATAAGGTCATATAAGAGCGTGAGAAAAAAACTTTTCAGTTGGTAGGACATTTTGAATTTTGCCCTAATGACAGCCGAAGCCTACTCTTATCGATTTTTGGACCACCAAGAGATCTTTGACGTGCGCAACGTGCACACGAGATCTCCGAGATTTTTTGCGGTTATCCGAGAAGGCTACGTGTAGATCTTACCTGTCATAAGGTCAGGAGTGCGATTTAAAGACAGTAGTAAGAAGGAGTCAAGGAATAGTAGTAGAAAGGCTGCAGAAAAAGTCAGGAGCCCAGAGGAGGGGGCAGAGGAGGGGGCAGAGGAGGGGGCAGAGGAGGTGAGGTAGTGGGTGCAGAAAGTGGAGACGAAAGCAGACGACAGAACATTGTTATAGATCAGGAAAGGATGTGAAAGGAGAAAATTTTAGAGAAGAAAGTTTTCAGTCGCTTTCCGGATTCGAACCTGGGACCTATTGAAAGAGAGGTAAACACCGTAACCTTTAGACCAGGAGAGCCCCCACATAACGTCTAACTTGTTCAACACGCCAGCAAAAAAACAAACATCACAGTTCTTTTTTGAATAACTTTTGAGCCTATTTACGTTGAGGCCTTAGGCTTCAAATGTAGGACAATTCTGAGTTATTTTTTTCAACCCACATTTTTTCCAACTTCAAAGGTTGATGTGAAAGGGCACTTTTTGCAGGCACGGTTGGCTTTTTTCTGTTTGAGAATCTGAGGTTAAAAATAAACATAATTATGTACTGTTAAATTCTAGAGCAAACTAATTCATTATAGTTAAAATTTACTTTGTTAGTTTAAAACAAGCATTACTACCTTTTGAACACATTCATGATAATTGGGAATTTCCTAAACCGAAAAACAGCGGGCAAGCAGGGAGCCAATGTTCATTGTTCATTGTTTCAGGAAGCAACATCCCTGCATTCCGGACATGTCCATTGATGCTCGGTTGCTCTCTCCAAAATGTCGCCGAAGGTCTTTCCCCTGATTGTGCCAGTGCATATCTGGTTGAACGTTCTTCTTTTCTTTCCTGCAAGGATGCCACATTTTCCGCTTCCTTTTTGCCTTCCCAAAAGCATCATCCTCTCCACAGCAGTACTGGCCTCTGCCTCCCTATCTTCCTCCTCAATCAGCTGGCGAGAGAGGCATTTCAGGATCTCGACCCTGTCTGGTTGAACCGTGCTGTCAACTGAGGGGGCCTCACTAGCCAGTCTGTCTGCTTTTTCATGTCCGTTAACACCTGCACGACCGGGAAGAAAATCCATGTGAGCGATTGCATAGGCGTTACTTCGATCAGTCGAATCCATTCTGTTCTCAGGAAACCTTTTTCGATCCTTCTGAGGGTACAGATGGAATCAGTGATAAGAACAGCATGGGTTGTGTGGGGGCGATCTTTGTTCATCCATTCAAGTGCTTTCGTGATGGCTTCAATTTCCATTCTCATACTTGTTGTAGCTTTGCGATCTGTGTGTCGGACAGCGTGAGAAAGCCCAATCCGTAACCAATGACAGATAGGACGACCAGCTGTAACATTAGGAAGAGCACTCTTTGTGGAATCAGAGCGGTCGCCATGGTCTTGATTGCACCCAGACCTCGTTTGGCCCTTATAACCACATGATTCACATGCTTGTTGAAGGACGACGACCTGTCGAAGACGATTCCCGGATACTTCAGCTCTGACTATCTGTCGATAATCTCATAGTTACAAGAGATTGGTGGAGTTATGTCTTTGACAATCTTGTAGTTGAGCGAACACCAAAGTAACTGTGCTTTTGAAGAATTGATAACTGCTTCATTTTGGTCGCACCATGTAACAACTAAGTGAAATCTTTTCTGTATGTTCCTTGCCATCTGAAGTCTGTTATCTCAGTGCTTGTATGCCATTATGTCTTCCGCTAAGCTCAGGACAAGTCCAGATTCCTTCTAATGCATTGTTATCTGTGCTGTTTACACATTGAAAAGCTCAGGAGAGACGGGGGATCCTTGGGACAATCCTGGAGTATTTATTGATACCGGATCTGAAGTCCGTTCACCCTGTCTTAGGGCCATTTTTCTCTCCACTAGGGCTACTGCTACCCATCTCACAAGCCATATGTCCACATCTAATTCCAAGAGGCGGTCGATCATACGTTCATAGTCGACTCGGTTGTAAACATCCTCAGTTGCCGTCACATCCTTCCGCTGCTGAAAGCTTTCATAGGTTTGCGCCATGACAGCCGAATTCACTGCAGTTTCTCGATGGGGTCTATAGCTGCCAAGCTCTTTTAGTAACAGGGACTTCCTCTCTAAGTGTGCTGTAATTCGTCCGACAACTATCTTTTCCAGAATTTTCCCATAGGTGTTCTGCATGGCCATGATCCTGTAACCACTGACAGCCGAGTGATCTATTCCTGGTTTGGGGATTGGTATCAACAAGCTGTGCAACCATTCGAGCCATATAGAAAGAGAAGGGATACCTTATACCTTTAAAATACGAAGTATGACGGAATGGGTTGTTTTGGTGTACTCTAAGTCATCACATTTTCTGACTTAACTCTTATCCTGCGTCTGTGCCCAGATGCGTATCTTATCAGCAACCGATTACGTCGGACTCGCCGGGCAGGCCGCCG